GTACCTGCAGTTCGCACAAGCTGGGAGCAGAGACCAGGCCTGTTGTTCATGTGCACCAAACAAAGCTTGTTAATAGTCACAAGGCCAAAAGTATGACGTGGACACGGAATTCTTGCCTGCCACTCTACACCTGGAATGACGTTCCTTAAGAGACAGGGCCAGGGTCTCACCAGAGGGTATTGGGGGCGGAGGGGATTCTGTATCTGATTCTATCAAGCCATATGGTTCTTGAACCAAATCAGGACCTGGATGGCAAAAGAGAACTTGGCAGGGACCCATAGGTCCCCATGACCTCAACCACACTGTTCTCCTGTTTCATATCTTGTCTACTTTTAGTGGCAACTTCTCCCAAACTTCTATTTTCGCAGTCAGGGCAACGGCCAGCGGCATCGCTATAGGTTACATGACATTGTGAAGCAAGGAGAAATGGGCAGCTTTGGATGCAGTGCATTTCTACCCCCTCTGGAAACGCTGAACAGTTTTGCTCCTTCCTCCAGGAACAAGAGTAGCAAGGACCCTGCACCCCCATAACTGGAACCACCTTCAAGACAGCGACTCCTGACAACTGGCAAGCAATACTGGCAGCTTATGTTTGGCACACGAATAATGGGCTGGGCAAGTCGTGAGAGCAAAATGCAGCCATGATGTTGACAGCAAGCTTGTGAGGATGAGGAAGGGGTTGACTGGACAGGGTACTTCTTAAGACTGGCTGCCACTCCATGATTCATGGATAACTTGCAAGAAAGTCCTTTCTCAAGGGATTTCCAAATGGCATGAGTCTCTCTCCTGGTCCCAAAGGGCAGATAAGTTCGCCTCCTGTTAAACCGAATGTTCGTATATATCTGGGATATCTTCTTTAGATCCTGCAATTAGAAAAGTAATGTGAGTAGCCAGGTCTCTATACGAGCATAGGTCTCCGTGATTATGAGATGTCATAATTATCTTTTATAGATATCTTTTATCTTTTATGGACCATTTATAAAATTGCAGTGTGATTATGCTATTGCCCTGGCAGTGAACCTTACTTTTGTACAATAATGGAGCTATATTATGGAAAATAATATTGTTCTCATTTTAAGGATGGAAAACTGAGGTTGTCATGACTTAACCAAAGCCAGTCAATGGGTCTGTACAGAGGTCGGAACTGAAATTGGATCACCCAAATCCAAGGCCAACTTTCAATCCACTGAAACCCACATCCATAATGTATATTTAGATTGAAAGTCCCATTCAATGGCTGCTTTTAACGTTTTTCTGCCCAATGTATCCCAAGAGAAATTTCTTTCCAACTTCAATTAATTTGAGCCACTTCCTGTGTAAAGATGAGCCTCTGTCTCTACTGCAGTTTGGCCACATCTTCTCGTAAACATTTGAATGGAATTTGCAAGTTTGAAGCCATGCAGTAAGTATACTCCCTGGTGCCAGCTTTCAAATGCACCAGTGCTCTGATCAGATCTTACAGAAAAGGACATGAGCCATGGTGAGTGGGAAATGTATTTTTGCTGAGACCTTGAACACGAACGACAACCAAGCTACAAAGAAGAAGAAGAAAAAGAGCTGGTTTTGTACCCCGCTCTTTACTATTCGAAGGAGCAGCTTACAATCATCTTCCCTTCGTCTCCCCTGCCTCTCCCCACAACCCTGTGAGGTAGGTGAGGCAAAGGCATAAGAACACTTACCTGGGACATAAGCCCTATTGAATAAAAAGAAGAAGAGATTGGATTTATACCCTGCCCTTCACTACCCGAAGAAGTCTCAGAGCAGCTTATAATCTCCTTTCCCTTCCCCTCCCTACAACAGACACCCTGTGAGGTAGGTGGGGCTGAGAGAGCTCTCTTAAGAACTGCCCTTGAGAGAATAGCTCTGAGAGAACTTGTGACTGACCCAAGGTCACACCGGCAGCTGCATGTGGAGGAGTGGGGAATCGAACCCGGTTCTCCCAGATTAGAGTCCACGCTCCTAACCACTACACCAAACTGGCTCTTTCCTCTGAGTAAACATGCTTAACATTGCACTGATCACCTCTGAATCCTTTTGAGAGCTATGAGACTATAAAAGCACTGAAGGTTTGTAGTACAGATATGCCCCAAGTCTCCCCCAAGGTCCGTGCTATGCCCGCATGTGTCTAGAGATAGCCATAGCGATTTACAGAGGATTGTCGATCGACCCTAGCGGCTGAGGCTTACCCTGATGGTGTTGCGGAATTTGGCAGCTGAGGTAAAAACTGGCGTTGTTCCCCATGGTGTCCACCCCCGAACCTTCCACCGGAAGCGTGGAGTCGCAGTCCTGCTCCCTCGTCCTGTTCCCCTGCTCCCAAGGCTTGATACCGGAATGTGGAGCTAAGCGCTTTGAAATCTGCTGACAACCTGAAATACAATGCACCGAGGAACCGCTGGGCATGAGAGGCTGAATCTCTGTGGGGCAGCAGTTTGCAGAGCTGTGGCCATAACGCGTGGGAGAGCCGCTGTCTGGGGGCGCACCAGAATTCTCTGGCAAAGGGGATTGGGAAGAGATGAGCGGGTGCTTCCATTTCCTCCTGCCAGGATGAAGTTGTAAGTAGGGCTGCTGAGGGGTCTGTGGCCCGGTGGCTCCTGCTTGCCCGCCGGCTGCCGTGCTGAAGTCCAATCTGTCGGGCAAAGAGGGCGCGTGTCCTTGAGGCAAACAAGAAGGCTGTCCAAGCAGAGTCGCCTCCGGGGAGGCTGAGCCAGAGGCACTTTCCGGCAGGTGTGCCCTCTCAGTCCTTCTGTGAGCCTGGGCGCTAAGTAACCCGACCTTGGCCCTGGGGTATCTGGGCTTGCGTTGAACAGGTTCTTGGCTCGGCCTGCCACTCGGACAGTCCGGGGGGCTCCGTCCATAATGGTGGTGTCTGTGATGGTGGTGGTGGTAGTGGATGTGATTACTGGCCAGCTGTGCCCTGCCCTCCCCCGTCGTGTCCATCGACTGGACCCTGGGCCGCGGGTCCCTCCCAGACGAAGACGGCTCTTGCCTGTTTTCCGCGGCCGGATTCTCCGAACAGCAGAAAGCAAAAGGGTCGTAATCACTGCTCAAGGAGCTGTGGAAAGTGGAGCAGCTTCCATGGATGGCCTGAAGGCTGACGTCAGTGCAATTCAACATGGAGTCGCTGGAGGAGCCGTGGCAAGGACCCGAACTGGTGTCGCTACCGGGGCCGTCGGGAAGGTACCCACTGGGCTCCGTGAGGTAACTCTCCCCTGAGCCACTGCTGTGGTGATGTCTCCCGTGGCGGATTCCTCTCTGGGGAGGAGCAGCGCGATTGAGCCTGTCGGACAGGGGAACCCTCAGCCCTCCTCGGCAGGGGGGCTGACGTTGAAGCAGGCAGGGCCTGTGAGGGGGAGGGACCTGCTCACACGGCAGAGACTCCTGGGGCTGGGAAGCCAACAGTCCTCGGGCAAGAGGTGGCTGGTGAGCACACCAAGGCTCAGAGCCTGCCGGCCCATAGCGCAAGTAATGCATTGTCCCGAAACCTGGCTGGGAGAGCTGCGGAGAGTGGAAGAAAGGGTGGCCATGGCAGTTCCTGGGGGGTATTGGGGGGAGGGCCTGTGGGAAGTGGTACAAGGCATGCCCTGGGTGTTGCGGGAAGAAATGGGGCCTCCGGCCAGGCCCTGGCTGATGTACATCTTCCCGGGAACGCAGGGGTAAAGCAGAGGGGTCTTGATCTAGAAAAAGGAAGAACCCACTTTGATCAGAGACTGTAAGCACCAATTAATCCTGTTCCAAGAAAAGCAACAACATTTTCCAGGATATAAACTTTCATCAGTCAAAGCTCACTTTGTCAGTCAAGCTAAGGCCTGAACTAGACGAGACACTGTCCACCAGTTGTGCCAGGGTTCTCCTGACATGACTTGCCTTCCCCACAGTCAGATGGCAGCTACAAGAAACTTATTTCCCCAGGCACCACGGGGCACAATTCAGCTTGGGAATGTGGTATGGGGGGGATGAGTTGATGAGTTCACTACCCAAAGGAGTCTCAGAGCAGCTGACAATCACCTTCCCTTTCTCTCTCCACAACAGACAACCCTGTGAGGTAGGTGGAGTTAAGAGAGCTCTGAGAGAACTGTGACTGACCCAAGGTCACCCAGCTGGCTACATGTGGAAGAGTGGGAAATCAAACCTGGTTCTCCAGATTAGAGTCCACCATTCTTAACACTATACCACGGCTGGCTGGCTGGCTGGCTGGCTGGCTGGCTGGCTGGCTGGCTGGCTGGCTGGCTGGCTGGCTGGCTGGCTCTCTCTCTCTCTCTCTCTCACACACACACACACACACACACACACACACTCTCACACACTCACACACACACCATGGTCCTGATCTGAATCCCTATGGCACTTGGCGAAAGTAAGTTCTCCACAGCCGCCAATCTGGCTGTGGGAAATGTGGGTTTGGTCAAGAAAACCATCGCCTGATTCATTGGCCAACATCTCGTTCAGATCCCAGAGAGCTGACAACTATCCCATACACCAAGCCTGCAGAGTGTGTGTGTTGAAGGGGTTCGAGAGCAACTCTAAATGCCCCTCCCCCAGAATGCTGGGCTCGTAGACTCCACAGACTGTCTCTTGCAGATGACTCTGTCCTCCATACCAGAGGTGGCCACCTTCTCCACTTGAGTCAAATTCTCCTCAGCCAAGTTGCTCAGGAGAAAGAGCTCTCCTCCGGCAATGATTTCATTACTTCAGTAGTTTGGCAGCTTCCAGCTGAAGAACTCAAGCATGGAGGTTCTCTCCTGACCTGGCTGACAGATACCCACCTATAGGGAAATGGGAGATTGCTTCAGAGGTCCTGCGTGCCAAAGGCCTCTAAGCCAATCTCCCATTTCCCACCAAAAAGAGCCCTATCTTGGCTAGAGAGAAGCCGTGATTTTCCTGTTGCTCATGAGTCAACTAGCCTGTCCTCTGAGCCCAGGATAAGGATGCCAGCCTCCAGGTGGGACCTGGGGATCCCCCAGAATTACGGCTCTTCTCCAGACTAAAGAGATCAGTTCCCCTGGGGGAAACGGATGCTTTGGAGGGTGGACTGTATGGTGTTGTGCCCCACAGAGGTCCCTGTGTTCCCCAGGCTCCCCCTCAAATCTCCAGGAGTTTCCCAATCTGGATCTGGCAACCCTGCCCCCCTCCCATTCTCCTACTGGCCAGAGGGGACCTGGCCACCCTAGCCCAGGAAGGCCAGCACCTTTCTTTGCAGGAAATGAAATATGGCCGTCACAATGTCTGCAGTGTCACAGGGGCCTCTAGGACAATTCCAATGGGAAGGGCACCTCCCGGCACACAGGAAAAACGAGTTTGGGTTTTTTCCATTCTCCTTTTTTGCCCAGCTGCTCCTGCCCCCCAGGCAAAATGGCTTGGTGTGTTCGGCTAGCCAAGCCGACATGCGTGCATGAGACACCCCTTCTCACCTGGCAAGGCACCCTCCAAGCTGTCTTTGACAGCTCCTTGCCTATCCCATAAGAAGTTATGCCTTGCAAAGCTGACAAGGGCAGGTAGGGGGGCAGGAGGAGCAGAGGAAATGAGAGTGGCGCTGGATGAAGCCTGTGGGCCACTGGCTGGCCATCTCCATTTTAGCCCACTCAACTTGCTGGAGACACAAGTCTGTCCATCTCCCACTTTGCTTCCCCACCTGTCCCAAGTCCTCCTGGTCATGCAGCCCTTATAGACACACCAGGAGAATTCCCCCAAGAAGTCTAGAGACCTGCCTTGCAATACACCCAGCTTAGCTGCCCCTAGAACTTCCTGGTGCTCTGAACCTGTCCCCCATGCCTCCCATTTAAGCGATGCGCTTTGCACTCAAACCAAAGAGAACTGCCACCAACTGGCAGGGAATTGTACATTGCCAAATTGTCTCAGTCAACTCAAGGGCTGCCAGGCCTCTTGCTCTAGTAGGAGGACTCCTGCTGGCACCCCTAGTTGCCCAACATAGGGTAGCTCTAAGAATCACCGGAAACTCAATGGTTTTACCAGAGTGGTTTTATAATTCCTAGAGTGACATTACGGTACTTCCAGGTTTCCCACGGAAGTGACATAGTGGAGCAGATGATGTTGTGCCCTCCCTCGCCACTCCCAACTCTTCCATGGAGTCAGCTCCATGGAAACTAATGACCACTGAGCAAGCAGATGAGGGGAGGGAGGCAACTGCATCAGCTGGTTCCCATGATATGTCCCAGGATATCGTGGGGACAGCTGGGGACACGCCACACGTTATGAAAGCCGTGTGACAAGATTATTATTATTTATTAGATTTTTATCCCGCCCTCCCGCCGAAGCGGCTCAGGGCGGCTTACAACAATTAAAAACCAGTAAAGATTAATGCAGTACATCTAAAAATAATCAATAAAACAGCCAATATAACTTATTCACAATAAAATTACAGTTTGCACATGGCGGCCGTCCATATAAAGTGCTAGAGTGTTTGATCTGGGCTGTTCAACGCTTGGCGGAATAGCTCAGATCCATTTCTCTCCTCTCCCTGAGACAGGGAATATGCTTTGGTGCACCCATATCCCACGCACCATGCTGTTGGAATAGGTGACTGGCAAAAATCTAACCCTCCAGGAATCACAGTCGGTGCCCTTAGCCGCCAACCCTGAGGCCCAGTGGAGAGCCAAGTGACAGCATTAATGGCCATCGCCCACTGGGCGGGCCAGCTCCCAGCCTATCCCCCCAAAAGCTCCCAGGTAAAATGAGTTGTCTTTCCCATAGGCTACTCTTCCTGCTCCCCCACTCTTACCAATGATGTTGAACATGCACAGGGGACACGTTTGGTGCTGCTGGAGCCAGGGGTCAACGCACCACCGGTGGAACTCATGGAAGCACGTGATGATCCGCAGCTCCTGGGAAGAAAGGCAAGACGGTGAGAGGAGAAGGCGGTGGTGTCGATTTGAGGGTAAAAGGGGCAGGTGTCCTGATCAGAAGTTCTTTATGTAGACCCCACTTGTCTCCCCAACAGGGACCCAACGTCTCCCCTTCTCCACCTGACGTTCACAGCAACAACCCAGGGAGTTAAGTGAGGCTGACAGAGAGCGTGACTGGCTCAAGGCAGTGCATTCTCCCCTCGTCCATTTTATCCTTGCAGCAACCTTGTGAGGTAGGTCAGGGTGAGAGAGAGTGACTGGCCCATAGTCCCCCCGGTGAGCTTCCACAGCACAGTAGGGGATTTGAACCTGGTTCTCCCAGAGCCTAATCAGGCACGCTAACCACTACACCACACTGGCCTTCCGACGGCACGTCTCACGGAATGAGTTGTTGTCGCTGTTGTTTTTGAACGGGGATAGCATTTAGCTTTCGTTGGGCAGTGGTGCTCAGCAGGGCTATTTTGGGGCAGGAACGCACAGGAACGGAGTTCCGGCTGGCTCCTGAGTTGGCCACGCCCAGCAGGAACTCATTAGCATAATAGGCCACACCCAATAGCAGAAACGCATTAGGATTGGCTACATTAGGTGTGTGTGGCCTAACATGCAAAGGAGTTCCTGCTACAAAAAAAGGCCCTGGGTTTTGACAACAAACAAGGTAAACAGAATAAGGAGCAAAAGGTGGGTGTGGCTGGATGACCACACTTCTGGTAACATGGGGGTGTGGCCTAATGTGCCAATGAGCTGTGCTGTCATGGGTGTGGCCTAATATGCTAATGAGTTCCTGCTGTTGGGTGTGGCCTATTATGCTAATGAGCTCCTGCTGGGCTTTTTCTACAAAAAGAGCCTTGGTGCTCAGGAGTGAAACTTGTGTCTGTGATGGGGGGAATGACTGGAACCAAGGAAACATGACAAGCCAAGTAAGCATAAAGGCCCTGAGCATGTGCAGATCGGCTCGTCCTCACCAGCTAAGTAACCACAGGTAGGCAAGACACATGATCCTTATCTGTGTAGGTGTCTATTTCCCAGCATCTCACCTTCTGCCTTTGAAGCTCCCTTCTGCCGCAATGCTCCTTCCACCTGACGTGTGATCATGCTAGAAGAAAAACTGGCTAGTCTTTGAGGAGCCACAAGGACTCCAGCTTGGGGTTGCTTGCAGCAGACAAACAAATTTGCTGCGTGGCGCCCAACTCTATTTCTCGGTTGTTACATCAAGCTGACTACCACCCTTTTCTTTCCTCCCTGACAGACCCAGGTTCGAATCTTCACTCTGCTACGGAAGTTTGCCGGGTGACACGCTCAGACTAAGCTACCTCACGGGGTTGTTGTGAGGATAACATGGGTGAGGGGAGAATAATGTCTGCCACCCTGAGCGTCTTGGAGGGGAGATAAAAATGTATGTAATAGTATTTGAACATATCAAGCTTCTAGGCCAGGGTGTGTTTATGTGTGTGTGTGTGTGTGTGTGTGTGTCTACGCATGTGAAAAGGTGTGTGTATGCATGTGATATTTCCCCTCCCCAAGTTAATTGGTTCTGCTTTCTGATTTAAGAAGGCTCAGAACTGGAGGAACCAAATCAAAAGGGATTAATGCTTTAAGTGTGTGAACAGCTGGGATCTCACTCATGCTAAATTGTCTGTCTCTGCACGTGCCCAGTCTAGCTGGAGAAAGCCACTAGGTGGGGTTTCTCCGCAAGCAGAAATGCCGAAACCAGTTTGTCCCGGACAGAGATCCGGGCCTCCTATTTTTTCTTCACTCCCACGCCATGAGATGGGAGAGCCCCAGAGGCAGCACCTGTAAGGAGACCAGCAAGGGGCACACAGGCCAATCCATGCTTACCTGGCCCTCGCTGAACTCCTCCAGGCAGATGGCGCAGACCGGAGCGGAGCTGCAGGTACTGGCGGAGTCCCCTGTTGGGGCTTGCCGACAGCGGGCCTGGTACCTCCGGGTGGCCAGTTGGTTGATTGCTCGCAGGGTCTCTTCCTGTATATTAGTCTGTAGAAAGATGGGAAAGTTAAAGGATCTAGAATGGAGGCCAGGGTTGCCACCAGGTCCCCTCCGGGCCACTGGCGGAGTGGGGGGGGAGGTAAGGTTGCCAGCCTCCAGGTGGGGCAAACGTGGAAGAACACTGTGTTAAAACAAAACACCCAATTCTGATATGCTACTGTGCCTTCATATATTCATTCAAATCATATACCTAAACAGAGGTCATTTTGGGGGGGATCGCGGGGGATCGCAGTTCCCCCAGGTGAGGTACGGGGGCGGGGCACATGACGAAGCCCCGCCCCCTGCTTCTGGCCACCCCGCTTCCGGCCCTCATTCAGCCAGGAGGAGGCAGGAGAAGAGGGAGGGTAAGTTGCTTCCTCCCTGCCTCTCCCCACCCCTGCCTGCCTGGGGCCAGGGAGGGCCTTCGTGGGGCTTCCTTGCACTCCCGCCGGCCTTGCAGGTCCACCGCCGGGCCCCTCATGGGGCTCGGCAGTGGAACTGCAAGGCTGGCGGCAGCGGCCCAGACCGTTGGGGGCGGGGTGTGTGGCCTTATGACACACTTCTGGTGATGTCAGGGGGTGTGGCATATGCTAATGAGTTATGCTAATGAGTTCCCCTAGCTCTTTTTCTACTAAACGACCCCTGTACCTAAATATACAATAAAGACCCTAGTGTATCTTATTAATTATAGTACATTGATAACAAAAACCTAAAGAACAATATATATCTTGTAGAAAACTCCACAGCTGCAGAGACAAATAGACAGACAGGATTCAATGCTGTAGTAGACTATCTTGCTTTCTGATGAGAGATGCAGCCGTTGTCAATGCCGATGTCGTAGGCTGTTTTGCTTTCCGGAAAGAGATACGGCAAGCATCAAAGCAACATGCCTCCCAGGCAAAAGTTGCGTGTTTCAAGAAATTCTCCTTCAGGCAAATTATTTTTTCCAGGAACTAAGGCTCACAATGCTACAATGCATAAGTCAAACAACTCTGGGGCCTGGAGATCTCCCAGAATTACAATCGATCTCCAGATGACAGAGATCAGCTCCCCTTGAGAAAGGTTCACCCTTGGGAGGGTGAACTGTATGGTATTATACCCTGCTGAGGTCCCTCCTCTCCCCAAACCCCATCTCCTCCAAGACTGCACTCCCAAATCTCCAGGAATTTCCTAACCCAAAGCTGGCAACCCTAGGTGTTGGAGAGGTAGGGTTGCCAGATCCATGTTGGGAAACTCTTGGAGATTATGGGATGGAGCCTGGGGAGGACAGGGAACTCAGTGGAGAACAATGCCATAGAGTCCACCCTCCAAAGCATCCATTTTCTCCAGGGGAACTGATGTCTGTAGTCTGGAGATGAGCTGTAATTCCGGGGGATCTCCAGGTCCCACCTGGAGGCTGACATCCCTAGTGGAGGTAGATCTGACCAGGCTGCAAGGCTGACTTCAGGGCTAATGGATTTTGCATTTCCTTATAGTTTAAGCACACCAGCTTTGGAAGAAGCAGGCAGCTGACTCTTGCCTAACGACTGCTAGCGTTTGGGCAGCCTGCTCCTCGTTATCACGTCCTGTCTCACTTTGTGTCCTGATTTCCAGGACTGATGCAAAAATTAGTAACTCAGGCTGCTTCCCCACATGGAATACAGCACATTCTGATGTTTTTTGGGGAACCTTCATGCAACTCCATACTCTTTCCAAGCATGACTCATGAGGATCCCAGGGCCTTCCTCTTTGAGCCAGAGCAAAGCAAAACTTCCTTGGCTCTGGCTCAAAGGTGGAAATGCAGCGAAGTTGCTGGACTTGAAGTACCTTGGGCTGATCCAGCAGAGCACTTCTGAGGTTTTGCAGTTCTTCCTTAGGAAGGCTGTGTTGTAACCCTTCCTCTGTCTACCGATTCATCCTGCAAGTGTGCCCTTGGGGATTGAGATGGGCTCAAACTGGAAATAAGACGCCCATGACTGGGGGGCAGTGGGAAAAATGACCTAGGGAGGGGTTTTTGAGAGAAGAATTGGTAGGAAGCTTCAACATCCCACACCAATCCACTGTTTCTCCCCTGCAAGTGTCCCCACTGGCATGTCTATTATTCCAGCCCATGGGTAGGTGTGGGACACTGTATTTGCCAAAACGATGTGTTGTTCTGCTCTAAGAACCGGGTTGTACACACATTTGATGCTCTTAAGAATAGTGGTGTAGTAAGAATAGTTTGGTGTAGTGGTTAAGTGCGCAGACTCTAATCTGGGAGAACCGGGTTTGATTCCCCACTCCTTCACTTGCACCTGCTGACGTGACCTTGGGTCAGTCACAAGCTCTGGCACAGCTGTCCTTGAAAAAAAGAGCAGTTTCTGTCAGAACTCTCTCAGCCCCACCTACCTCACAGGGTGCCTGTTGTGGGGAGGGGAAGGGAAAGGAGTTTGTAAGCCGCTCTGAGACGCCTTTGGGTAGTGAAGGGCGGGGTATAAATCCAATCTCTTCCCTTCTTCTTCTTCTATATTGGCTCAAAAGGAAGACAACCCTGAATGCAAGATGACTGTCTTAAAAATGTTATATACCTCCTCCCACTTATTATTGGACATACTTAGTTTGCATGAGAATGGAAGATGACCCGCCTCTTTTTTTTTATGGCATACCTGTGAAAAAACCTAATCTTGCATAAGTATGGTAACAAACCTACCCTCCAATGAAGGATAAATGCATTCATGTGAACTATCCAGGGGCAAACTGGGAAGGTAAAATGGCCCAGGAGCAAGCTGGCGGGGGCTCCTTGGCTCAGATGGCACAGGAGCTGTGAGCTGATGAGCCAGTCCACCTCTGGAACCATCAACTTAAGGAGGGGCTGCCGTGCTGAGGCTGTCTGTCACTGGAGAAGGATCCACCCATAATTTCTTACCTGAACTCTGCTTGGCTGACACCGAGAGCGCATGATGAAGATCAAAGCAATGGCCACAACAGTGCCGATCACGGTGAAGAGTATCCAGACATCATAGTCCGGCTGTTGGAGAGAGACAAGAGGTTAGGAAGGCAAGAGATGTTTCAAAGTGCTGGGTTTTTTTGGTGGGGGAATGTTCCACATCTGGGATGACAGCCGTTCTGACCCAGATGTTTGGTGTTCATTGAGTTTCATTGTGTGACTTTGTGAATTATTAATCATGGGTGGGATTTAGCAACAGGACCAAAAAATCCCAGTTTCAAGCAATGTTCCCTCTAAGCTTTGGAGTCTTGTGAGCAAAAATTCTACTTTGTGAGCTACTGGCATTAAAGTTGTGAGCGAGCAATTGGGCTACTGCCTAAATTAGTTTGCTCTGGAGCCATCCTTCCTGAGCTAAGACAAAAACGTGTGAGCCGGAGGCTATAAAACTGTGAGCTAGCTCACCCTAACTCAGCTTAGAGGGAACACTGGTTTCAAGTATAGGCTAATGGGGACTGAACTTGCTGAGTCTGAAAGGGGGAAAGATCTTGGGGTTGTAGTGGCTAGCTCAATGAAAGTGTGGAATCCACGACCAGAGGATGTAGTGATGGCGACAAGAATAAACAGCTTTAAAGGGGCATTAGATAGATTCATGGAGGAAAGGTCTGTCAGTGGCTGCTAGCCATGGTGACTGAAGGAAACTTCAACATTCAGAGGCACTAAACCTCTAAATCCCAGAGCCAGGAGGCAACATCAGGGGAAGGCCTCTGCCTCTGTGCCCTGTTGTTGGCCCTCCAGAGGAACTGGCCGGCCACTGTGTGAGACAGGATGCTGAACTAGATGGACCACTGGTTTGATCCAGCAGGGCTGTTTTTATGTTCTTATCAGGGGAAGGCCTCAGCCTCTATGCCCTGTTGTTGGCCCTCCAGAGGAACTGGCCGGCCACTGTGTGAGACAGGATGCTGAACTAGATGGACCACTGGTTTGGTCCAGCAGGGCTGTTTTTATGTTCTTATCAGGGGAAGGCCTCTGCCTCTGTGCCCTGTTGTTGGCCCTCCAGAGGAACTGGCCGGCCACTGTGTGAGACAGGATGCTGGACTAGATGGACCACTGGTTTGGTCCAGCAGGGCTGTTTTTATGTTCTTATATTCTTAGCAGATCTGAGCAGAAAAAGGCAAAGCTGAGGGTTTTTTTTTTTTTTAATGCCAGCAGGAGACACATACATATCACTAATATTCAAATTAAAAAGGGAGGAGGAGAAGGATTTAGGTAGCTCATCTGCATGAAAACGATACATGAATACATGAAGCTGCCTTATGCTGAGACCAACGGTCTAGCAAGGTCAGTCTCCTCTACTCTGGCTGGCAGCAGCTCTCTGGGATCTTGCAAAGAAACCTTTCACATCACCTGGTCCTGTTAGCTGGAGATGTTGGGGACGGAACTGGGGATCTTTTGCATGCCAGACAAAGTTGTGAGCCAAGGATCCTGCCTCATACTGAGTCAGACCACTGGCCAACTAGCTCACTGCTGACTGGCAGCAGCTATCCAGGATCGGAGGCAGAAAAGATCTCTCTCAGCATCTGTAACTTGAGGTCCTTGAATGGGAGATTCCAGGGACTAAACCCAGTATTTTCCACATGCATAGGATATGTGCTACCACTGAGCCATAAACCTTTCCACTACTGCAGAGTATGAATTTACTGGTATAAACATTAGACAAATTGAAACCTGGAAGGTGTCAACAGAAAATGGAAAAGGTGGGGGGGGGGGAA